AAGAGTAAATGACTTTCCAATGGGGTTAGGAAAAAATGTAGGCATACTCTAAATGGGTATCATTTGTACGATAAGTTGGCAACAATTTTCTTTCCCAATCGCTTCACAAATTACACCTATTTTTGGCATACATTTTATTATTGGCGCACATAATAAGCACATTATATCGTTGAATAATAAATCATTGTAAAAAAACTTGTTATCACGAATCAAAATGACCAAAATCATTTATCTGGTAATCCAATTTTAATATACACTTTTATGTTACTCTATTGACAGTTGATTTATTTGATAGTTTATAATTTACATGTATGATTTATTAAACCTAACTGAATAAGGTTGCCAGTTAATTAAGTAATTAGACTCGTTTTTTGTATATTTTAAAAGGATTAATATTTAATGAATATTAAGAGCAAAAACGTGTGATTATGAATTGGATTTTTTATATAATCCTCTTAATTGAGATTAAGTTTTACATTAATGTCTTTTGAAATAATTTGAATCATAGGCTCATGTTCTGGCCAGCGACCAGTTTGTGCGGCACCGGTAGGTATGCCTGTCATCATAAATACATTGTTGTGTTCAAAATGCTTTACACACAGAATATTCTGTGGATAACACTCTGACATTAAGACGTGAAGCTCCTGAAGTCCAGTGCAATATGTTTTCATATGTATTGTGTGCTGAAAATATATATCTGTAAATACGTGTCGATATAAATGTAAACCACTGGTGAAAGTATACTGTCATAAAAATGTTAATGTTGATTTTTTTTGTCAGTTCAAGCAAATAAATTGTTAAACGTATTGAATTCTTATCATGAGCAAGTTTTTAGTCATTTTTATTCTAATGCACCATTAATTAAATTACGATGATCAATTAATTTTACAATTATCTGTTTAATAAATATAATTAATTAAAAATACATTGCATATTAATTAGGCAGATCTTATTGCTACAGATTATGGTTAATACAGTGTAACCCCTTTTTTATACACATATAATACTTATGAGAGTAAATGACTTTCCAATAGGGTTGAGGAAAATGTAAGCATAGTCTAAATGGGTATCATTTGTGCGATAAGTTGGCAAAAATTTTCTTTCCCAATCGCTTCACAAATTACACCTATTTTTGGCATATATTTTATTATTAGCGCACATAATAAGCACATTATATCGTTGAATAATAAATCATTGTAAAAAATTGTTTTATCACGAATCAAAATGACCAAAATCAGTTATCTGGTAATCCAATTTTAATATACACTTTTATGTTACTATATTGACAGTTGATTTATTTGATAATTTATAATTTACATGTATGATTTATTAAACCTAACTGAATAAGCTTGCCAGTTAATTAAGTAATTAGACTTGTTTTTTGGTATATTTTGAAAGAATTAATATTTAATGAATATTAAGAGCAAAAACGTGTGATTATGAATTGGATTTTTTATATAATCCTCTTAATTGAGATTAAGTTTTACATTAATGTCTTTTGAAATAATTTGAATCATAGGCTCATGAATCATGACATTATGTAAAATATTTTTTGTGTATAAAAATAACAGTTGTTAAAAATGCTTAATTTATAATGTACTATTTTTCTACATGCCTTATTAACAATTATTTAATTATTGATTTTTATGAAATATAATTTTTTAAATAGATAACTTTTATTAAATTTTAATTTAGTAATTTTATAAATAATTATGATAAGATATTTTATAAATATGAGAGACAAAAATATAATAATAATACAAAAAATATTTATCATATAAAATACTACAATAATTGTATTAAATAAGTGTTGACATAAGCACTGAAAACCAGGAAAATATTGTTAGATTTTATTATTATTATTATTAGACTTCGGGATAACAACTGTGCAAAAATTGGTGTTAAAATAAATACAAAATACAAATCCATCGAAAAATTTCCCTTTCAAATGATATATTGTTTTATACCATTAAACATGTTGTGTATTATTTCTTGTGAACAAATAGCACAAAAACATTTAACCAACAAAATTCCATTAGGTTTACTTTGCTATACATTTTATACTAAAAATTGTAAAATAAATGGACACAACTTTTATACAAAATATTATTTAACAATATTTTGGGTATTTTTAGTCGCTTATAGCGAAGTTGACTGTAAAGTATATTTACAGTTAAGTTATTGTTTAAATTATATATGAGCAAACAATTGAAATGTTGTAATTTAACTATATTTGTTAAAATGTATCAGGTTGTGTTAAATTAGATTTTTAAAATTTTATAACTGTTTAGTACTGTTCAATAAATGAAATTATTCACTGTATATAAAACCATACAAAATAGCAAATAATTTCACGTTAAATACAAATATATTTTATGCAAACATTTTGTGTACAAAATTCAAAACCCAAATGAAATTATAACTCAATCGACGATTGAATAAAAAACTAAGAGACAGTGTATTCACTAAACCATTCAATACAATGCTTTAGGAAATGTTTGGTTATTTTGAAGGCTTTATTGTATATTTTATTTTCAATTTGGTTTCTATTTTATTCGTTTATCTTTAAAATATTTCTTACGTTTTTCGTTGCCATCGGTTTGTTGTGTGTGTTTTGCATACATTGTGTTCACGTTTTTGTTTTGAGTAAAAATCTATTTAAAGGTAGAGATGGAGAGCAAAAGTATAGCGAAATAAATGTAGGAAAGAATAGTATTTTCACTCACTTAAGACATACAGAATATTCTGTGTGCAAAACGAGACACAGAATATTCTGTATAATGAATTCCTGGTATAGGATTGGATTTTTTGTTTCTTTCGGTTAAGACTTTTTTAAAAGGCAAACATTTTTCCCGACGGTCTCTCTCTCTCTCTCTCTCTCTCTCTCTCTCTCTCTCTCTTGTGTTGACTTTGTTTTTGTCTCCGTTTGTGTTTTACTCTACTTTTGTCTGTCTTTCTGTAAAGTTTTTTCCGTGTATTTCTATTTGCTTTGCGTTTGTGTTATACCTATAGCTCTCTCACATTCTCTTTCTTTCTTTAAAATTCAAGTCAACTCTATGTCTGAACAAAATATATATTTTATTTTTATATTTGGCAAATATTGAGAGAGAGAGAGAGAGAGAGAGAGAGAGCTTTTTTACAGACAAATGTTTAGTATACGTAATATTCGAGAAAATTCAAATCAATAATCCTTTAGAGCAAAACAAAACGCCTAATATTTTTTGCTCTCTCTCTCTCTCTCTCTCTCTCTCTCTCTGCCATTTACTAACTATATTGATATAATCAGACAAATTGTTTTTTATATCGTCTGGCGTTTTGATTCAATAGTTTTTATTTTGGTTTTCTCTCGTGTTTTAATACACAAAAACAAATAAAATAAAACAATAAAAACATATAATAAATAAAAATTGAAGTAAAAATCAAAATTGTAAAAACAACTCTTGTTATTATTATTGCTATGAATTTTATTTTTTATAAAATCCAAATACTTTCAATCGATATCTGGATAATAATAATAATAAGCATTTCATTTGTTGATTTAATGCATATAATACCATCATTAATATTGCAGTGTATTGTATATATTGTAAGTTTAAGTACAGAATATTCTGTAAATAAAAACAATAAATGTTTTTTGTCTTTCAACGTAAGCCTCCGGATATTTAGCGATAAGAATATTCGTTGCACTTTACTTAAGAATGACAGCAATTAGTATACATTATTTATATTAAGCACAAATGATTGTAAAATTAATAAGCTAATATTATCTATGGTACTAGATAAAAGCGATTACTATTAAAATTTTGAATTTAAATTAATTCTTGATAAACGGAAATAAATGGATGTTGTCTAATAATTGAGCAATGTAGTTTATTTTTAATGCCACGCCTGTAGCTACTCATTCATTACTCCCTATCATTGTTTAGTATATGTATCCCTTCTATAATACAGTGTTTATAATAAATAATTTTAATTAACATTTGTAATACATCTAATGACTTGATGTGTGCCATTGTTTTGTTGTTTGTTTGCTATGTCTTGTTGTAAGCTATGGTTTAAATACATGGATACATACGCTTACGAGAGGGTAAATAAAATTGATTTTTAGTCCTTAATCTCGCGAAACGATTATACGATTACACAATACATACGTGTAATGTATTAGTGAATACATCCGTATGTTATAAAATATATTTTTGTTGAGACATAAAACAGAAGTCCATTATATTATGTATGCATCGTATATACTGTGAACAAAAAGAAAACAGTTTTTAATTTAATAAATGATTTCTCACTTGTATTGTCTGTATTTGGTATACAATGTGTGTATAATTTTGTTGTTTTTTCATACAAAACAGTTCCGGGTATTAAACTCCGAGCGCCGGCACCTCGTGAAGAGCACAGCCGTAAGTACTGTATTGTATATTGTATATCATATTTTATCATAATTTTTGTTCATTAAGGCAGATCTCTCTCTCTCTCTCTCTCTCTCTCTCTCTCTCTCTCTTCTTTCTCTCCCTCTATCTCTGAAACACTTTTATTAAACGCAAACTTTCAAAACAATTATTAATCAAACGATTTTTGCCTTACATTTAATGATCAATTAATTCACACGTTATCTAAAACAATATGTAATACTTTTGGCTAAAGATATTTTAATACATTTTAAGTTAGAGCAGAAAATTATTTTCTTTCAAAAACAAACAATTAATTAAATAATTTTTATAAAACAACTAAAACATATTTACTGTATATATGGTGTATGTAAAGTATGTTATGTTCAGTAGACTATTCCGTAATATGTACTGTATATTATATGCTGTTTATTAATTTATCGTATAGGAAAACATCACAGATTCATATTGTAGTGTTCATTAATTTTTCTCTCTCTCTCTCTCTCTCTCTCTCTCTCATTATACTAAACAGAATATATTTAATTAAAATTAATTTTTCGTTTATTTCCGGCACATTAATCGTCAGTATTTCCTGACGTGAAGGCCATGTCTGGGGGTAGGGCTGAGTTGGCCTGTAATGTGAGCCTACAATCCACCGACGATGCCATTACCCTAATCCTATGGTATAGGGCCGACACTTCGGGTGTACCCATATATACGGTGGACGCCCGGACCGGACCCCTCGATCAGGCGAAACACACACCTATGCCTTCCGTGTTCGGTACAAATCGGGCACATTTTGATTTGTCTGTACGCCCGGCAGTGCTCCGCATAGACCCCGTATATGATAACGATGGTATGGAGTACCGGTGCCGAGTGGACTATCGATGGGGCCGTACTATGAGTACGTTCATCACCNCGTGTTCGGTACAAATCGGGCACATTTTGATTTGTCTGTACGCCCGGCAGTGCTCCGCATAGACCCCGTATATGATAACGATGGTATGGAGTACCGGTGCCGAGTGGACTATCGATGGGGCCGTACTATGAGTACGTTCATCACCCTGATTGTTATAGGTATGCGATTTTGTTATATATAATTCATGGTCATGGTTATTAGTTAGCTTGAATGATGATCTAGTTTAATTTCTGTATATAATTTTGTGTAAGTGATATATTGTACATCTTATTAATTAATTTCAATATAAGTTTTGTAATTTAAATTAATTATCCCATGCATTTTTAATTATAACTATAACATTATTAATAACTTATACTTTGCAATAGTTACAGTTAGTGTATGTTTGTTGTATTTATAGCTAATAAAATAATAATAATTTAATTAATAATATTTATTCTGACGGTATGTCATATTTCTAGTGCCTCCAAGAAATCTGATAATCAAAAATGAAAGAAATCAAATACAAAACGGTTTGATCGGTCCCTACAATGAGGGAGCGGAGGTTAGACTGTCCTGCGTTTCCGAAGGGGGTTTGTATTAAACAAACACTTTATTTAATATTTAATTTAATATATCTTTATATTGTATTGTATTGGAGATGAGGTGCAGAGTATATGCTATGCAATCGATATAACAATATATAGCTAGCGATATAATTAATGACATAAATATTTCCGATAACATTCCGGTGCGCACAACATGATTGACTGCCCGGTGCCTTATCCTTCCCACACATCGCACCCACTTATTATTATATAATAAATATGTCTAATATATAGATAAATGTGCTTAAGAAAAATAAATATTACTTTTAACATTTTAATTTATTATTTGTTTAAATATTTTAAAATTAATTTTAAGATAAATACTTTTTATACAATTAAAACCTTTATTTGTTACTAAAATTGTCGATTAATTTACACATTCCGTAGTTAGCAGCATATAGTTGCATGTAATGCCTTTTTATGTCTGTAAAAATAAAATAATTTACATAGATACAATAAATAAAATATTTCACTGCAAATAACATTCATTGCATTGCATTTTAAACACAACAAATACAGGCAAACCCGCGCCGTATGTTCATTGGTATAGAGATAATGAGCTAATTGATGACACTTATAGCTACGGCACCGGCAATAATACGGCCCATAACGAGCTGTACATCAGTAAACTATCCAGAATTGTGTTCAATAGCGTACTGTCGTGTAGGGCCGGCAATAACGTCAGTAAACCTATCATCTCTCGCGTCACAATCGATATTAACCGTACGTTTAAAATGTTTTTTAAAATAAAATATTTTGCCAATTCTTTGGTTGTTTTGATTGTTTTGTGTGTTTTGAAAATTTGTATTTTGTTAGTCAAACCCATTGATGTGGAGATAGTGAACGCCAGGCATACCCTACAGGCGGGTCGAGAGGTAGAGATGTCGTGCGAGTCACGCGGTAGTCGACCACCGGCTCAAATCACCTGGTACAAAGATAATCACGAGCTCACACATTCTAGGTATATTTGTTTTGGTTACATCATGTTTTGAATTTATAATTTTTAGGTAATAATGTTTCATATAGCTTTTATTTAGGTTAGATACAAATTGTTATATTCTTAAACAGAATATCTAGTGAATTTATAATACTGTAGCAAAAATATCAAGTAGAAATTACTAGCAATATTGCACATCATAAGTAAATAACTAAAGTTTCTATTAATATACTATAGATATAATGTTAGTTACTATTAATTTTATAAGATTAGGGCACATTTATTAAATTTATTGATTATCTAACTTGATAAAAAATAGGAGTTTCTAAAACTCCATGCATTGTACAGTGTAGTGTACTTTAGTAACTATACTCAAGGTTGATATATATTTGTCAGGGAGAGTATATCACACGACGGAAATGTGACCACAAGCCTTCTGAAGCTGAATCCCCAGGTGCTCGACAACGGAGCTTATCTGTCATGTCGTGCGGAAAATCTGCGATTTGTTGATATATATTTGTCAGGGAGAGTATATCACACGACGGAAATGTGACCACAAGCCTTCTGAAGCTGAATCCCCTCCACGAGCTGTTGCCTCGAATAGACAGTACAGCACGCCTTTTAGACGCTAATCGATTGTCACGCCACCTCCTGCCTACCTTTGAGTTACACGAGACATACATAGTTTGACAGGATCTAGTTTAACATTAGGCTATTTTTATCTCGCTCCCTGCGAATGCACAGTATGTGTGTGTCCAGCACTTGATCACTAACACTCATTTTCGTTTACTATAATGGTGTTTTACTAATCCACTGTTATTTACAATACATGTACAGTGAATGCTATTTATAAAGTAACAGTAACTTTATACATAACAGTAACATAGATTATATGCATGAACGTAACATGGTCATTAAATTGCAGAATATTGAGTTTAACTATACTGTAGTTATTGTTGTTTATATATTATGTTGTAAATTAGTGTACAGAATATTCTGTATATGAAAAATGAATGTAAATTTTTGAGTTTTGACACATTTTATTGATTTGAAGTGGAACTAGTGCAAAGTAGTACTAACTATCTTAATTATTTTATTTTATGCTTTTCTTTTCAGTGAATTTCTGTTGCAATTAAAATAATATTTTTTTATATTACAAAATTACTATAAATTTTAGCTTTTAAATAAAATGTTGTATTTATTTTTCAATACTCTTTATTTTATTCTAATGGCGTTAATTATAACTAGCGTTCACTGTATTTAGCAATAATACACAGTAATTACTGTCCGTCCGTTGCATGTGTTGTCTAATAGTGGAGCACAAGTAAGTGTGCAGTCGATATGCAATGAGTGCAGTCGACTGTCCACTGATTCCGTATTGTCTGTGATTGCAATGAGAGAGAGTAAGAGAGAGAGAGAGAGAGAGAGAGAGAGAGAG